CAGACCCTTATACTATGTCCTGCTTAGTGTTGGTTGAGGAAGGGCAGGGGAGAAAGAGATTGCCATAGTAGTGCAGCTTCAGCTGAGAGAACCCAGGAGCTAACAGCTGGAGGCTGTCAGCTGGCTACATGCCTTGCAGTTGAGCGTGAGTCCTCTCCTGAGGTTATGTATATCGGGAAAGTGCGCCTCGGTGACTGCCAAATAGGAGGGAAGACCCCCCAATACCAGAATTTATTTATAAAAATTGTGTACTTTTCTTACATGTTTAAACTTTAGTCACTTTCAAAGTACTCTTCATCTGATGCAAGGCATCTATCAAGATTTTATTTCCACTTCTCAAAACAGTTTGTGAACTCATCGATTTTGATGCCTTTTAGTGCTTCTCCCATTTTTTGTGTTACCTCTTTCACATCAGCAAAATGTTTCCCTTTGAGCACTTTTTTGATTTGGAGAAACAAACAAACCACTTGGGGTGAGACTGGGTGAACAGGGAGGGTGGGGCATAGGGGTCATTCTGTTTTTGGTCAAAAACTCCTGAACACTCAGCACAGTATTGGCAGGTGCACTCATGAAATAGACAAACATGTTAAGAGAGTCTTAAAAAAAATTCACTGTGGTCAAATGCAACCTCTCACAACAACCCCAGCTGGTATAGATACAGGCGGGTTCATAGTGGGAGAAGCCTGTACTATAGGGGGCCCGCTCTCCAGAAGATAATTCTGTGTTTTTCTTAATGCCCCCTGTAATTAGATAGGATGTTAATTCAATCCAAACGAATCTATACATTTAATGAAGGATTTTTTGACAAGCTCAACAAGTTTGTTTTAAGCATTTGGAAAACCAAAGGTTCACATTTAGCTAAGTAAAATTTGAAAAAGAAGAGCAAAGAGAAGGGGTTTAGTTTATTCCATAAGATAGGCTATAAGATGATGGCAAATAAAAACATGGTACTGGTGTCATCACAGACAAGCAGACCAATTAAAATGGTCAGAACCAGAGCCACATAGAAATGGACTTATGAAGATATGATAAAGGTGGCATCAAAAATCAATGAGGAAAGGTCCTGGCCAGGTGGCTCAGTTGGTTGTAGTGTTGTCCCATACACCATACAAAGTTGTGGGCTCACTTGTCGGTCAGGACACACACCTAGGTTGTAGATTTGATCCCTGGTTGGGGTGTGTATGGGAAGAAACTGATCAATGTTTCTCTTACATGGATGCTTCTCTCTCTCTCTCTCAAATCAATAAACATATTCTAGGGTGAGGATTAAAAAAAATCAATAGGGAAGCGACAGACTATTGATTGAGCAGAATTATGGAGAAAAATTGGTTGGCCATTTGGAGAAAAAACAAACTAGATCCCTACCTTACACTGCACACATGAATGTATTCCAGAGAGAATGAAGACCTAAATACTATTTGCTGAAGAGAGTAATAAACTGTAAAACAAAGAGAAGAAAATACAGAGTATCTTTGTGATGTTGAAATGCAGACTGAGTTTTTCAACAAGACCCCAAAAGCACTATTGAGAGTAGCAAGATTGTAGCCATCAGCTGGGAGAGAGAACTGGAAGAACCTGAGGAGTTGAGCACATTCTGGAAAACATTCCTGGGATCAGGGCAGCTAAGTAAGCCATAAGGATACATATAGGTTTGTTAGGAGATACATCATTATGACTTGCCTATCTTAAATATTTTCCCCTGCATCTACTTTCCTCCTATTTAAAACAAAGTAGTACCCTTCAATAAACATTTTTGAGTTCCAGACATTGCGTTAAGTGCAGGAAATATGAAGAAAAATAAGCTTGAGTCCCAGTCCTTAAAGAGCTCATAACCTAGATGAGACAGATGAGAAAACTAAATAAAATTTTTTAATTCCTCTTCTACAGGTAGTAACCAAGAGGCAACTACCTTTGTCTAGGGCATCAGTAAGAAGATGGTATTTGAGCAATGAGGTAAGCCAATCCAGGCAAAACTGAACAGCACTAACAGTCACAGGACTTTAAAAAAGCAAGGTATGTTGGAAAATGTTAATCAGTAACCTAATACTGGACATTCTGAAACATTTGTTACTGAAGAAAGAAAGTAGCCTGTAAGGGTTGTTTTAGTCTTTTCTTAGTAACATCGATTATCACATTAAGTAATTATCACCTTTGAAAGCAAAGCCAAAGAAGATGAAGCACTGAATTAATGAGGGATACATGTTAATGGTTAAGGAAGAACAGCGTGCTAGGCAGCACTGATGGCAACCGTGGAGTGACAACAAGCATTCTATCATGGATTTAGAGAAGGAAGTGATTGCTTATCAGTTCCAGTGGTCAGGGAAGATTTCATGGAAATGGTAGGGCTTCATTTGATCATTCAAAAAGTAGAGAACTGAGAATTGTCTCTATACATTGGGTGCTGAGAGTGGAGTGCGAGATTCAAAGCTTAGTCCACTAAGGAACAGATAATCAGATAGTTGCAAAAATAAAGCAATGAATGCCATCATAGAAGCAAGCACAGGCTGATTTGGGAAAAACAGAGGGCTCTTGCTTTAGATCAGGGAGGCCAGGGATAGATTTTCCAAGGTGATGCACTGATTTTCATGGATTACTGAGAGTTTGTCAAGTGAAAGGGAGGAAAACACATTTTGCAACGGCTCGGTTTAATGAGAACACACTCCTTTTAAGGAAGGTGAAATAGTTCAGGATGGCTGGATCAAAGGCTGAAAGGCACTGAGGGAAGTTTCTAAGGCAAATAAGGGAGGGGTTTAATTATGAAAGGCCTTTTATGGGATGTTAAAAATTTTGGAAATTTTTTTAGCGTATGTACATTTATTAAAGCTGGGGACAGTGAAACAAGGAAGGGCTTAGGATAGTAGAAACAACAGAAGATAGCCTAGGTGGGGGTGCTTTGGCTCTTCAGAAATGCTATAGTAAAGAAATGAGCCCAGGCAGGTCCGCTTTGGATCACTAGAAGTGAGAGAAAAGGGGCCTTGGAGATAGGATCAGGTTAGCCATGGATGAGCTGCCACTGCCCACTGCTACCCTGGTTGCAAGTCTTGTGGGGACCCTTAGAGTTCAGGAGATGCACGCCTGAGAGAGAAGAAAGGCGTGGGCGTGGTCCTGAGAGGGAGAGCACCAAGAATTTGGACTTTTATCCTGAGGACAACGTGGGAGTTGATGAGGCTTTTAAGCAGCAAAGTGACATGATTTAGATCCAACTTCACTGCTATTAAGGCAATTATGATGAAGGTGATCGAACATGGACTGATATGGGGGTGACCTAAGAAGCAAAGAAATTAAAAGGCTGTTGCTATTGTTTAGGGAAAATAAGAGAAGACTTCAAACATACACTAGCAGTGGTATTAAGAGAGAAGGAAGTTTGAGCTGCCAGGGAAGGAAGAAAAGACATTTCCTGTGGAAATGATGTGAATAAATGTTTGGAAAAGTGGAGGGAAAGCAAATCAGTCTTCCTGGAGCATACAGTATACGACAGTAGAACAATGACTAGCTTTGGAATCTGGGATGAATGGCCAGAGTCATGGAACTGCTGGCGATGAGGTTGAAAACGTTGGTAGAATCAGCTAGTTACAAGGCTTTTAAATAAAGAGGCTAAACAATTAGAATATTACTTTTCTCTCAAAATACAATATTCTTTATTGAAGTAAAATATACATAACATAAATTTATCATTATAACCATTTTAAGTGTACAGTTCAATGGCATTAAGTACATTCCGATTGCTGTTCAACATGGCCCATCTCCAGGACTTTTTCATCATCCCGAACGGAAACTCTTCACCCATTAGAAAATAACTCCAATTCTTCCCTACCCCTCCCATGCCTGGCAACTACTATTCTACTCTTGGTCTCTGAGTTTGGTTATTCTAGGTACTGCACAGAAGTGGCATCATATGTTATTTGTTCTTTGGTGTTTGGCTTATTTCGCTTAGCTAAATTGCTTTAATCAACACCCTGGTTGTTTCATAACTGGCTTTTAATTTGCATCCTACCCTATATGTTGTATTTTAAAACACATGTCTAGGTTTTACTTGATAATCTTTCCCACTTACTGCCTTTGGACACTTCACTCCAGGCAATGATAAACAGGAAATTGTAAACTTGGTGTACTTAATGACAATTAAGTGTCTGTCATAAGTGACTTTTTATTGGTCTACTTTAAGTGTCTATATTGTTAATTTTTTTCATCTCATTATAGTTTATGGGTACTAGACCTTTTGCAAAATTTCACCTAGTACCTTAATAGCACATAGAATAACTCAGGCAAAAATCAAACTTATTTGACGTCCCTGGAGAAGGGAGGATAATTTTGGGGGGGATGCCGATGCAAAGGTTCTTTCTTTTGAGACTACGTAATTTCCCTATCTGCTGTGGAATCGCTCTAAATGAAGACAATTGAAAACACACTTTTCTTATCTTTAGCTGGGGAAAAGCCCGAACGTTTCAGATGTTTGGAAACTATTTGAGAACTGCCAAGGTTATTTCACCTTTCATTTGAGGCATCCCTAGATTATCAGTGCTCTGCCAACAAACTGAGTAATTTCGGACAAGACACCAATCCTCTGGCTGTCTCATGGGTTAGATTAGGCCAGCCTATGCTTCCCAAACCACATCACAGCACACACATACCGCAGGACGCACGTAACCGGAGGAGGCAGTACAGCGCAGCGACACTGGAACCCAGGGGCAGCCGTGAGCCCAGGCACACCCCGGTGGGGACGCCCTCCAGCCCCCAGGTTTGTTCCACCTGACGCGCCACAGCCGGGTGTTACAGAGGACGAGCTGGGGCTCCAGCTGTTTCTGAAGTCATCGATCTTTCCCACCTAGTTTTTTTTAAAGGTCTTTATTCCTTAAAATTATCAAAGTGTAAAAAAGGCACAAGAGCCGCAACCCATCCAAATACACACAAAATATCTAACAGTAAGCTATCGGCGAATTTTACGTTTCTTCCCAGCAGGCTCCGGGAGTCATCGCGAGACTTCGCCAATTCTCGCGAGAGTTACTGGCAGCCATCTTCTCGGGGGTGCTGGGAGCCGGGAAGACCCCCCGAGTCGTTCCCATTGAGCTGCTCTTCGTCTTCGCTTTCTTCACTTTTTCCTTTTCTGCGTCACCTACAAGCACCTGGTCCCGAGGCTGAGAGAAAGCCCGGGTCCAGACCCGTGTTCCGCTCCTGGTTCAGAAAGATTCGCTGGGGTGGAGGGAAGGGGGAGGGCCCGGGCAAGCCGTTGCAGCCTCAGCCCGGGCCGGGGTCCGGGGAAGGGGAGCTCCTAGCAGACTGTGGACTTGCGGCCTGCGGCCGTCCCCGCGCACCTTTTCACCGAATCCAGTTCGCGGGAACCTGCCACCGGCGCCTCCCACCGCGGCCCACGCGGGCGGCGCGCGGAGGAGGGGGCGGGGGCAGCGGCGGCCGTAGCGGCCGCGACCCGGGCGGGCGGAGGAGTGTGACGGCCCTCGGGGCCTCTGTGGATGGTTTCTAAAATGATCATTGAAAACTTCGAGGCACTGAAGTCCTGGCTCAGCAAGACTCTCGAGCCCATGTGAGTATCCGGGCCATCTGCTTGCAGGGATGAGGTGGGAGATAGGCGGACACATCTCTGCAGTTTCCCCAAGTGCCTGCGGTGGAGGCCGAAACGGTGAACTGAGGTCCCAGGGTTCTTGTGTTTTCTCTGTTTCTTCTACCCTCGTTCCCAGGTTCTGCTTATCCCGGAGAGCCTATTTCCTATCATTGAGTTGGCCCTTAAACCGCTGTCTCCTGCTCTTTCCCGTTATGTGTAGACCGACCCCAATCTACACAGACACACTTGTGTTTGTTTAGTAAATCGGCTTTTGTTTTTTTTAAGCGAATCCGTGCATAACCTCCTGCCCACAGATTATTTTATTATGCCCATTTAAACGAAGTGAGTGGCCTTTATTAGGGACTTGGAACTAGTCTAAGCCACTTACGTTTTACCGAAACACTGTTTCTGAAAGAAAGGCCACATCTGCCATGTGCTGTGTGGCTTATCGGCACCTCTCCTAACTGATTGAAGATGTAACAGGTGCTGAGGTGCTGAGTAAAATTCCCTATACCCATCTACATGGTGGTTCTCTTGGAGAGGAGGAAGAGCATGCAGTCTATCCATATGGAATATTTAGCAGTTTTCAGTGGGATGCTGTTTACCTTAGAAAAATTAAGGAGTGTTTTAAGGGTCTGTCTTTGAATACATAAATATATCATGGGCCCAGTGCTTTATCACAATTGACTGGTTTACTATAAACAACTTAAAATGCATTGAAGAAAATCCTCTCATTCAAGAAATTTATTAAGCACCTGACTAGGTACTGTGGGAAGCTTTGGAGATGGAGCTTTCAAATTCCAAAGTCCAGGAGACTTAATAAGCAGATAAGATAACTTAAGATAATAAGAGCAATGACAAGTGTACTTAATAGAGGATCATGTAAAAGTGATTAGTAGGCTTCTCAGAGTAAGTGACAGTTGAGCAACACCTTAGGGGAAGAAGGAACATATGTGTGAACATTTGGAAAAAGTGTTTCTTGCAGAAGGAACAGCAAGTGCAATGGCCCTGTAACAAGTGTGGTCGAGGTGTGTTCCAGGAAGAGAAATGAAACTGTTGGTGCCAGAAGGAACCTGGTGGTGGGGGAGAGAATGGAAGGACACGAAGTTGAAATAGGCAGGGGTCAAGTCATGTAGGATCTTTGAGGCCATGGTCAAGAGCTAGGATTTTATTTAAATTCTAATGGGAAGACATTAGGTAATTTAAAGCAGGCAAGGACTGATTTGATTCTGTTTTAACTCCACCTGCTTTGTGGAGATTAAGGGGGCAAAAATGGAAGCAAGGAGACTATTCTGAAAGGCATTGTGGGCGGAGATGTAGGTAGTTTGCATAAGAGTGATAGTGGACACAACTGAATACAGGGTCTGGCACAAATAACGCCCCTTTGGTAATCTATACCAAATCTTTTATTACAAAACCATAAGCACGTAATTCTGTAACATAACAATATCACACTCAAGTACACCCTGTGACGTTTTAGGGGAAATGCTCAAATTGCTGTCCATGTCGTGCAAGGCATTAACATACCCTACCAACCACACTCGGTAGTACTTCTGCCAGACCCTGTATATTTAATAAGTAAATTTGATAGAACTTGCCGTTGGATTGTATGTAGAAGATGAGAGAAAGGGAAGTCAAGGATGAGGACTAAGAAGTTAGCCTAAGCAACTGGGTGAAGACAGGAAGAGAACAGGTTATGGGATGGAGGGAAAGGTTGTTGGTTACATCAAGTGAGGTGTCAAATAGGTAGTTGGGTATATGAGTCTAGAACTCAGGCCAGGACTAGAGAAATTTAAATACCATCTTGCACATGGTATTTAAAGCCATGAAACTGGGGGAAGCTTCCTAGGACAATAGGTAGATAGGGAAGAAAAGAACCCAGATTTGAGTAGGAAGAAAATTGGGATGTATGACAGTGCAAACTGTCCACTTGATGGGATGCTGCAGAATGGATGAAAAAGATGGTGGCAGGTGGCAGGTAAGTGGCCCTTAGATTTGGCAAGGTATGAGTCATTGGTAACCTTAGCAAAAATAGTTTCACTAGAGTGGAGTGGTACAGATAGGAGCCCTATTGCAGTGGAATGGAAAGAGTGAGCATTGCATCAGTGTGGTATAGTGGTAGAGGGGACAATTCGAGTGGGAATGGCTGGGTTTGAGTTCTGCTTCTGCCACTTATCAGCTGTATAATACGGGGTAAGTCACTTAACTCAGTACCTCTGTTTCTTATGTAAAATGGAGAAGGTGGTGAATACATATTAAGAAACTCTTTGAACACTGCTTGGTTTATCGTTAGCACTGTATTGGATGAACAGAAAACTTTCAAAAATGTTAAGAGTCAAAATAGTGTTCCTTCTTTTAAGCTTCCAGTTTTAATTACTTACTGGCTTTAGTACCATTTCCCTTTTTTCCGCTAACCTAAAAGAAGCTTAGTTGTGGTTACTTAGTGTGTATGCTTATGTATTTTTTAGTTTTAATAAAGCATGTTCCAGGTATCATATAGCCTACTCAGGTCACTATTACTGCAGTAATTATTGTTGGAATAAGTAAGGCACTACAGTAGTAGGAATTGGGATTGGTCCTTTTTATAATGTACGTTGGTTTGGTAAAATTACACTGCCCCTTTAATTGCATTTGAGGTGAATTCTTTAGATGATGTGTTTTAAAGCTGATTCCAATTATTTAAGGCCTGTGGTTTCTTTCTTTTTTTTTTTTAAAGATTTTATTTATTTAGTTTTAGAGAGGGAAGGGAGGGAGAAAGAGAGAGAAACATCAATGTGCGGTTGCTGGGGGTCATGGTCTGCAACCCAGACATGTGCCCTGGCTGTGAATTGAACCTGCAATACTTTGGTTTGCACCCGCGCTCAATCCACTGAGCTATGCCAGCCAGGGCCTAGGCCTGTGGTTTCTAACCTTGGTTTTGTAAAACTTTAAGATGGGTTTGTTATCTGGAGGGATTTTTTTTGTGTAATTGCCAAAAAGCACCTGTTTGAGGGAGAAACACTTGGAGAACTAAGAGTAAGATGTAACTCATTCGTATAAGACTTTTTAGGTACTTGTGCTTGGATTTGAGCCACATTTCCAATATATTAATTCAGCAAACATTTATTCATTTAATCAACTCTGCTAAGCAGTGTGTTAGGTATTGGGAAAATGGTAGGAAACAAGACATGAAATGACTGTATTCAAATTGTTTACCATTTAGCAGAGAAAACAGGTGTTGTACAAGTAATTACAAGACTAGTGAGTGCTACAAAGTCCAGAATTCTGTCAAAATACATGTTTGGGAGGTCAGGAAAGGCTTTCTTGGCATGATAACATTTGATTTCAGCCTGGAAGGATGAAGAATAGTTTGCTGAGGCAAAAGGATGGGAGCATTTTAGGTTTTGGAGAACAGATTGGATGAAAGCTCTCTAAAATGAAGGAAAAATGGTGCCTTGGAGAAACTGAAGGAAACTGAAAAAAGAGCAAGGGGAAGAATAGCATTGGATAGCTTCAGAGAGAGGAACCAGATCACATACATGATTTTGTTGAGTCATATTAAGGATTTTGGATGTCACTGGAGGATAGTAGGAATCAGTGAAGGGTTTTAGGGCAGGAGAGTTTTCAGATTGATATCTAAAACAAAACTAGCCTGGTTGCAGTTTCAGCATGAAGTAAAAGTTTGTAAATCTGTATTTTATTTGATTATAAGGTCTGTAAGTATACCAGGGTTCTGAGTTTTCCATAAATTATTAAAAATTTAAGTGTTAAAATTGGCATCTTGAAATACTTAAGATTGATGTTTTTTTCCTCCCAAACATTTGCTTAGTCAATACTTGCTAATAATAAAATAAAATTAGGTATTGGTGTTTCTCTAACATTCACTTCTTGTTGGTGAGTGAAGTCCTGGGATAAATTTAAGGTTTTTTTGTTTTTCTTTTTCTGAATGTTCAGTTTCAATTTTTGTTTTTGTTTTTTATACAGAAAAGATTTTCTGTTGTATTTTAAAACTTTTTCTGAGTTTACACATCACTAAATGTGGTACTTTTATAAAATCATGAATGTTTTTAGCTAAAGAAAAATCTTAAGATATCATCAAACCCCTTAATTTTTCAGAAAATAAAATTGAAAGGCAGACATTTAATAATGTGCCTAGATTTTGTGAGGTTAGTAGTATAGAATAGAATGCGTAGTTTTGTGCTCCTGCTGCTAATGCTAAGTACTGCTAAGGTGATAAGGTATTGTGGTGAAAACAAAATAAGTTTTGTGTCCACATAAACCAGTGTTCAAATCTTAGTTCTGCCACTTATTAACTGAGTAATCCCGGCAGGTGAACCTCCCTTTTCCTTATTAGTGTAATTGGGACAATTGAAAGGATTGAATGAGGCCCATTTTTCAGAACCTAGTTCTTTCCTTAAATATTGGTTGGTTAAACACAAATAGGTTACATTACTATTGCTACTATTACTATTACACTGTTGCTACTGCCACTACCACCTAATATTTGTATGCATTGATTAAAGTTTTCTGTTTAAGTTTTATGAGGTGAGCATTGTTACCTCCATCTTGCAAGTGATGATGCTGAGGCTCTGATGCACAAAGTTAAGATAACTTGTCCAGAATCCGGCAGTTCGCTATACAGCCTGTGGCCAAACAGTGATTTAAAGCTTTTAGACTTTGGAGTCATGTTTTTAATTTAGTACTATACTGTATTATTTTGTTTTCTGTTTACTGTTACATTTTCCTAGTAGTAGCTGCTATTATAAAGGAGCAGGGTTCTAAGGCGTCATGGTTATATCAGTGCTTTAGAGTTTAAGAAAGAAACCTCTTTGAAGTTTTTGTAGTCTTTCCTCACTTTCCACCCTTGTTATGTACCTTTCTCACCACGTTAAAATGCATTTTTGTTCCTGTTTTGTAGGAAGAACTGAAAGATGATTATTTTACTCCTGAACTTTACTCTTGTTTCCTTCCTTTGATCTTTCCCTTTCTGCAGACTCCTTGGG